ATTTAGAAATTGAAACTTAACGACACTATAAAAAATGTGTACCCACTTATAACAAAATAAAAAAGTAGTTATTCATTTTACATAAATTATTCAATAGTTAGTTAAAGTAAAGTGGCTTTATCAAAATCAGCTTTTAATGGTTTTATGACAGTTTTGTTATATCACAAACAAAATATCCTTTTAATTTAAAAACTTTTACAAAATCAAATCAAATTATATCTTCATAATAATTTAGAAGCAAGTCATTTAAAAAATTGTTTTTATGTATATTTTTAAGGTTTTTATTAAAGTAGATAAAACAATTTTAATTTAGTTTTAAATTATACCTACTATACGAGGTTTAAAGGGAAAGTGGTACCTTAAAAAACGAAAGCCCGTAACGAAATTTACATGAAAACGTACGAAAATTTAACGTGCACTATAATGGTCCAAGAGAGAGTTAAAAAAGAGATCGAAAGTGAATTGTATTAACAAGTATGTGTTTCAGCGTTCAAATAAAACCAAATTAAAAGTTGTATGTACAATGTAGAATTCGTACCGTGTACCTATTTAAAAGTAAGGCGTAGTACAGTACTATTTTGGGATGGGGCTTATTTTTGCTCTAAGTACGAATTCTGCTCCTCCCCTTCCTAAATTGATTAGGATTTATAAAAAAATGTGGAAAATATTTAGCGAAATCGATTAACATTAACACGTGCCGCAGAGAAATTGAAATTTTCAGTGGAAAAAACATGTATTTTTTACAGCCTTCCATTCAAACTTATAAAAAAAGAATAAAAATTAATAAAAAATTATTAAACTTCGCACAGTTTATAAATAGGATAGAAGCATTGTTTCCGAATTATTAAAACCATAATTGAATACGTCAATGCAGAAACTGAATATGTCCTACCTATCTAGTTTTGAGATAAATAAGAAAAACTGAACAGAAAGTGGACATGTTCTGGATATATTCAGTTTCTCTACTATATTAACGCCTTTGTATAATCTAGATTACCGTGACATGTGAAATTTCTACGCCATTCGATCGGGCACCCTTTACTTATAGTAAATCCATGTTTAACTCAATATCCCTAAAAAGTGGACATATTCAGTTTCTGCATTGACCTATTCAATTACCCTGTTGAGAGTATTTAATTTAAATAGGTTTGAAATATTTAAAACAATGGTTTTCTTATCTTGATCACTTTTTAGGCCGGGGAGGAACCTTATTCGGACTTTTCAAAAATAAGCCCTATAGGGTATACCCTAAAACTTGGGAAATATGACTTAACCACAAGTTACTTGTGAGTGATAATTTTCTTAAAATACATTAAAAATCGTTCGCGAGATTAGCTTTTCGACAATATTTTGAAATTTTTTATGATAATGAACATTGAAAGCAAAGTTCTTAAAACCATTGAAGAGATGATAAACGTCTTACCAGCCAGCTTTTGAAAAAAACATTATTTTATTAGTTTTACTTTTAATTTGTGAATAGTATTAATGTTAAATTTTAATTCGTATATGAGTTTTGTAACTTTTGTTTTATTTAGGGCCGGTTTTTCAATTAGGGTTTAAACCTTGGTTCAGGGGAACTTAGATCAGTTAATGAACTTAGTTCATTTTGACAAAAGGATTTTGTGTTTACTTTTGGAGTTTTGTTTATCTGTGCTGTTTTAAAAAGTTCTAATCTGTGCGAAACGGTGCTTTAAAACAATTTACTATTGTTAAAGAACAATAATTATTATTTATTATGGATAAAAATCGTGCTGCCAACTTTACCTCTTTTAAGGGGGAATTATTTGTATGTAGGTATTTCGTTTTATAGTATAAAATGAATTTGTCGTTTTTTGTTACATGTGATGAATTTTACTAAAATCTATTACCTATTCAGTAATTATTTTTATAACTAACCTATTGGTCGGATTTGCAATAACTGGTCTAATTAAATCCACTATCTTACGTACAAAAGGTTTGGAAAACCGAAATCTGGTAAAAAATTCATCATTAATCCACCTTTTAAAATGATTCCGTCTTACCCGTGGCCTGTGCACACGAAGTTGAATATTATTTAGGAATTCGCCAATTTCCTCATCATCCTCACTAACTACCTCAAACATATCCATTGGTTTATTATTTAGGAATTCGCCAATTTCCTCATCATCCTCACTAACTACCTCAAACATATCCATTGGTTTATTATTAACAGCATATTACAAAACAAGAAATAAACAACGCAATACACAATAAAGCAGAGAAAAATTAAGTTATGTCAAGTTGAACTTCGTTTAAACGGCCAACAGTGACGGTTCATCTTTTGATTTAGTTTAAACCAAATTCAAGCTTGAACTTTGATTGAAAAACGGCATATTTTGTTTAAACCAAGTTCAAATGCTGAACCAAGTTTAAACTATGATTGAAAAACCGGCCCTTATTAATATTAAACTATGTTTTCTCAAACCGCACTTTTGTATAGGTACTAGTAGTACCTACTAGGTAATCCAATTATACATTTTCTGTGTCCCTTTGGTACGGCTACGACCGTTAATTTTTTTAAAAGAGAAGCGATTTTGATACCGCCCCACTCTCTAAAAATAAATTAGTCAAAAATGACTAATTTAATAACTATTAGTGGCTGCTTTTTCACTTGTACCATGGTTAACCATGGGATACCATGGTATCCCAAAATTTAACAGCCAATTCTTATTCTAATAAAAGACTGTTTTGTTCACATACATAGATATTTCGTCAACTAATTTCTTCAACTCTTAAAATGAATTAGTCAAAAATTATCATATATGCTATAGCGAAAAAGCAGCCACTAATAATTCTTGTCAACAGCTATTTGTATACCGAACATTTTAACAGACAATTCATATGTAACATCCGCTAAATACAAAAGTTATAAAAATAAAGCAGTTTTTGAGATATAGTCAATTTTCCATGGAATGCATATAAACATTCAATTTTCTTAGTTTCTTTAAGAAACTTTCTTGACCCATTACTGGTATTATTCATAAGAAATAATTGAACCTACACCCCGCCAAAGTTTTTTTTTGTTATGAGTGCGTTCCACCAACTTCAAATACCGACAGACTTGGTGTAGTGGAACACTCCCAAAACAAAGGACTACCTGAGCTTATATACTTCGTTGGTAAGCCAACAGAGGCGAGATGTAAGAACATCACGTGATCCTCACCGTCTAACAACGTGGCCTTTGCCGTAATCGGTACATACTATGCAACCAAGACTGCACACGGCAAATTGTATCACAGATACTAATATGGCCTAAATGAATATAGAATTAGCCCAACCTGGCTAAACGTTAAGGTAAACATTCAATTTTCTTAGTTTCTTCAAGAAACTTTTTGACCTATTACTGGTAATATATGGAACGCACTCAAAACAAAAAACTTTGGCGAGGTGTAGGTTCAATTATTTCTTATAATTGACTTAATCTCAAAGCCTGCTGTAATTTAATAACTTTTGAGGGTATTTTCGAATTCAGCGAAGAATTTTACATATGAATTGACTATATAATGTCCGGGATACAAATTGATGTCCACTACAGTTCTGCTTTTTCGCTATGACAATTCGTCATTTTTGGCTAAATCATTTAAATTCTATAATTTAAACTTTATTATTGTCCACACTTACTACTAAAGTGATTGATTATCGCCTAGGCTGTAAGAACCTGTTTGGACCAATCACAATATTCTATAACTGTCAGATCTACCTAACCTCAATTTCTAATTTTAATAGTTATTATTATAATTGTACGCTTTATGTATCTATTAACAAATAAAATTGTGCCTTCAAGATAAAATGTTCGGCTGAGAAGTGTCATTTTGTGGTTCGTTCAATTAAGTTCAGCCACAAAAAGACTCAGTTATCAGCCATTTAAATGTATATCGTTGTCAACACTCAACGATCTAACTGAATTAATAATATATATAATAATAAAATATATGGCCCAAATATATTAAAATAATAAGTTTTACATGAAAAAACACTATTTAACTTAAAGGAAAATTTATAAGTGATAAATTTATTCTCATTAGGTGTCATTCTTTCCAAGATGCATCTAAATCCTTTAATTATGTACAATATATGGCAGATTAAGTAGCCAAGCCTAAGATATTGCTTTTTCACTTCGAACAGGTAAAGGTGGAGCAAAAGAGAAGATACGATAGGAACGACCTTGGCCTTGGTAAGCCTTCACTTCCAGTATTCACTTGGAATAGAGATTATCGTAACGGTTCCTGGCACTTGGCCGTTTTCAGCACAATAAAATTACTTTTTTTATTTCCCATCATAATCCAATTTATTTTAGATTAAAAACATTTTTTTCCAATTAAATAATTTCAATTTATAAGTTTACGTAGTTTTGTAAAAATTTAAGAAAATAAGAATACGATTTCTATTTTTCACTTTTACAATAAAAAATGCAACGGTTCTTTGCAGTTAATCCATTTTAACATTAAAAAATTGCAATTTTAAAAATATTTTTTTATTTTTATCTCCATTAATACCCAGGTACTTACTTATCTTCAGTCAAATATTGTTAACCTGACTAAGAATGAGATAGTAGCTAATTTATCAAAAAATAAATAAAGGTGTCTACAAAATTATCTGATTGACTTTCACGAGAAAAAATATAGCAAACAATGATAATGTTATTACGAATAAAAAATACTAAACACTATCCAAATAAATATTCAAATCTTTGAAACCCGGTTTTGCTATTTGTTAATTATAGTTTGAAAAAAAAATTGATTAATGTAATACAATTTTCATTTATCATGCTTGATTGAAGAATAGTTTAATAAAAGCCAAGCTTGTATGCATACGCCATCTGTAGGCGAAAGGATTAAATATTTAATCTGTTTATGTCTAAAAGAAGAAATTTCTAAATGTAAGCATTTATGAAAGAGAAATAAATATAAGTACACTAGTTTTTGTAGAAAACTGTAATTAAAAAGTAATAGATAAAATAACAAATAACAGAAATATGTTTTTATTCCACTTTTATTTGACTTAAAAATATATTCCCGAAATGACTTATTTACGTATAAATAAATATGTTTTTCTTCAGTTTTCTTCAAATGTTTCTGGTTTTTCTTTATTTTCTTTAATTGTGTAGTAAAACTTGTATATTATTATTATGAACATAAACCAAGAAACTAAAATTAATTTCCCTATTAGTTTCAACCTTTGCATGAAAAAGTGACGGGAGGCGTTGAATTAAAGAGTTAAAGAAATCATGCACATTTGTGGATTATGTCGAAGAAGAAACATCAAAACTTAGACTATAGGCGTTACGATTTCTTTTTCTTTAATTGTCTAAGGTTTCTACATATTTTATACAGCGAATCCAAAAACTCTTATGCCAATTTAGAATTGCTAAACCAAATCTTATTTTATTCCCATTAAAATGATCTAGAGCCTTTTGTTGAGCAAAATTTAAAAAAAACAGTTTATGGAACAATTCACCACTACAATGGGATCAACGAATCTTTTTCCCAAACTCACGTGTAATTGAGATATTATACGCTCGAAAACAATGTATTCTATTGTTACACTAGTTTAATAATAAAAATATTGTTTCACCAGTGGAAAAGTGCAAAAGAAGAAAAAGAGGGCAAGTTGAAATAATAAATAACATGTGAAATATTAGGGTGTTACTATAGTACCTATATATATATATTAGGGTGTTTCAAAAAAATCGACTTTTTGTTTTTCTTCAAATGGTCGGCAAATTCTTTCAGAGGATATATAATATAAAGACCTCGTCAAAATTTGAGCTTTTAATTAGAAGATTTAGAGGTCGCGAATCGCAATTTTCTATTTCCCATTTAAATAACATGGGAATTTTTTTTTTTAACTTTGAAATTTTATACGTCTGAATCAAATCAACTTATGTCAAGGATCATCTTAGATTTTCATAGTAAATTTAACGCTCTACAAAAAAGGTCTCCTATCATTTTTCTATAAATTGATTCCTTCCAGAGTTATTCGAGGCCAAAGTTTGATTTCCATCGAATTTTCGCGTTTTTTTAACATTTATGGTACAATTATCATTATACGGGTGTCCCGAAATCTGGGGGCCAAACTTAAACAGTGCATTATTCGTATAAAAATAACACTTTTTTTGTTTAATAAACATGTATCAAAAAATGCTCCCTAAAGGAGCTACGGCCCCCTGAATAGGAGCCTAAGAGGATAATTTTTTTAAAACTATTCCTAGAGGGTTGAACATTAACAAATGAATTTTTGGTACTTTGGTAATTTTGACATGCTGAATCTAGATCTATGATCAAAACTGTTAAAATTTAATCATAGGCGTAACATTTGGAGGGGGCAAAGTTACAAAAATAGCCCCAACTTTTTTCTGGGTTAATAATTTAATTTTTTTTATGAAATTATGAGAATTTACAGTTTTTTACGAAAAATAGGTACTCTTGATTTGAATTGCTCAGATGCACCATTTTCGAGAAAAATGCATTTATAAATAAATTACTCTGCATATTATACACATCTCATATTTTCATTAAAACTTTGTAGTAGGCTTTGGAAAAAAGTGACGTTTTTTTGTTTTTTTGTTTTTTTTAAAACACTTCCTATGTTTCAGATATAAATATGTGATTTTTTTACTACATGATGCTAAAAGTTGAAAAAACGAGAAAATTCGATGTAAATCAAACTTTGGCCTCGAATAACTCTGGAAGAAATCAATTTATAGAAAAATTATAAGAGACATTTTTTATAGAGCGTTAAATTTACTATAAAAATCTAAGATGTTCCTTGCCATAAGTTGATTCGATATAGAAGTATAAAATTCCAAAAAAAAATTTCCTATGTTATTTAAATGGGAAATAGAAAATTGCGATCCGCGACCTCTAAATCTTCAAATTAAAAGCTCAAATTTTAACGAGGTCTTTGTTTTGACATCCTCTGAAAGAATTTGCTGACCATTTGAAGAAAGAGAAAAAGTCGATTTTTTTGAAACACCCTAATATATATATTATTATAAAATATGAAAATAAAACTATTATACGTTGGGTTTTGCGAGTATTACTCGGTTTTCAAGCAGTGATTTTTACAGGAAATTATGAAATGCCCTAGAGATTGTGGCTCTGGGAGGATCTGAAATGCGGGCCTCCGTACATTTTATATTTACATGTGACATGTTTTTTTTTAATTCAAAATTATTTTTTTTTAAATACGCCCCCTGAGAACTTCTTTGGGCCTGAATAGGTAGGTACGAATACTAAACCTAAACAAATCACTTTTATCCCATTATAGCGATTACTTGTTTAATAAACTCTTTTTTATCTTTAATTTGGCCGAAGAATTTTTGGACACTGTGTAAACTAACGTACTTTCCAATATTAAAATCGCTAATGTAGAAATGGAAACAAATCCATGTATTGACGTGTGACCTTTTTCATGTTCTTCAGATTTCGAATAAGCAACTGCAGCTACAATGTATCCAACAATATGACATATCCAAAGAGCAAATATTAAGAAATCCATAACCAGTATCCAAGGAGCATTTTCCTAGAAAAAATCATTACTACTCCGTATATTTTTCTTATAATTTTTTTAATATTTTTTAAATAAAAATGCCATTTTCTTTGCACTAATAACACTGTGCAACACAAAAAATGAACTGGGATCAAATCTGAAAAAATCGAATCTAGGCAACCCCCAAAACAAATCCTTTAAGGGGTTTTACCAGTTTAGCTCGAATAATGGAGATATACATATATATATATGTATATCTCCATTATTCGAGCTAAACTAGCAAAACCCCTTTAAAGATTAGTTTTGGGGGTTGCATAGATTCGATTTTTCCACATTTCATCCCAGTTCAAATTGTAAGGTCAAAATTTGTCGCACAGTGTAATAAGTATTTTTCAAAACATTATGTTTTCAGACATTTAAGTTATTAATTTTATTGTGATTTTTCCAGTCAGAAAAGCGGCAAAGTTTATATTTATGGTTTCCATTTTAAATCGAACAAACAATTTTTTTTTAAAAATTTAACAAAATTCACAAAAAATACAAAATACCTGTATTTTTTTTATTTGAAAAATGGTAAGACAGTTTAAGAATTTTTTTTTAAATATTTAAGTATTTGTAAAAACTATTTTTTTTCGGACTTTTCCTTAAAAAAATAGAAGCTTAAATAGCACATTAGGAACGTTTTTTTTTTAATAAAGTTTAACATTTAAAATTTTGTTTAACATGATAATCAAAATTTATCCGAAAGATGGTCCAGTCAATTTTTTGACTTTTTTCTGACGCTAAAATGTGCTTTTGTAATTAGTTCTCCTCCCCCTTCTTGTAGATGTGGTGTTACCCCCAACTTTGCAGTTTCTGATTTTACGACTAAAAATACGTAGAATTTGTCTGAAATTTTTTTTCGATTTCTCCTTAAACCAATATTATTTGAGGAGAGGAGAGGGGGGCTAATTTTATGCCTGTCCTTCACGGAATGATTAAATTGTGATTATCTTTTTGTAATATTATTAAGTCTATACTTACACTATACATAGAATGCAAAAGAAGCGTGGAGCAGCCGATGAGTAGTATTAATGATATTGTAACCACATACATTCCTGGACCACGAATTTGTAGACCAAAATAGCAAACGTCTTTTGTTAATACAGCAAAAAGCATTATGGAAAGAGACACCTTTAAGAATAATAAGGTAAACAAGAATAAAAATTAATCAAAATCTTACCAGAAAACATAATCCAACCCCCAATACGACTCTTTTTTTCTTGGCGAAAGTTGCAAGTAAGTTGTTTATTGCAATACAACATGAACAACATGTTGTAAAACTAGACTTGGAACAAGTTAGGCAACCACCCATTATATAAATTTATAGTATTTATAAAAAAATACAAAATATCATATTTTAAGTGTCATTGTTTGACATAATAGGTGGTGTAAATATAACAAAACTTAACCACATAAAATTACCTAAACTTTACCTACCATCCCAAAATGTTTTGTAATCTTTATATTATTAAGTGAGCAAAATATACAACTCTATAAAAAACTTACCATAAAACATAGTCCAACAGTCGTAACGATTGTTTTATTCTTAGCACAAAGACCAAGGAAATTGTTTATACATGTACAACATAAGCAACATGTTTTACAAACAGCTGTGCAACAAACGCAGCAAGGACACATTTCAGAAAATTTATTTTATGAAAAAAATCTTAACCATATTTTGATTGACATGCGAAAATGAAACACAATAGTAATGAATATAACAAGACCAAGAGTAGGGTCTTGCAAACTTAATCTTGTTCTTAGTTTGTGTATTAAATTTATTCTTATTATTCTGCAATACTCTAAATGGTCCCCGCCGATTGTTACTTATAATTTAACAAAAATTATTTTATTTCAAATAAAGTATATATCGTCTCGTCGAGAATACTCTTTTCTCGCTCGAGAGTGCCTTTATTTCGTTTCGTCTCGTTTCTCTCATGGTAAAAGTAGCTATGTATGAATACAAAAATTATTTTGAATGAAATACTAATTCGTTTATATTTTTTTATAGAAATTTAAGCTGGAAATTAAAAAAAATGTGTGCCAAGACCACATTGATAAAGTAAGACTTTTTTCGCCGAAAATGTCGCGGATTTGAATCAAATGGTTGGGTCTATGTGGAGTAGTTACATCAAGTAAATATGCGCAGTAGTTTTCAGATGGGTGGATCAAATCATTTAATCCATCAATCTGAAAACTACTACGCCTATATACTAGATGTAACTACTCCACATAGATCCAACCATCTTGTACCTACTGCGCATAGATGTCCGTCATTTTGAATCAAATTCTTAATTAGTCCATGCTGAGAAGTAAAATTAATGGAAATTGGCTGGAAAAAATTAAAGAAAAATTGCGTTACTGGACGAAACCCCCCTTCCCAAAATTATAATTTGTATGTAAAAAAAATTGTTTACTTATTACCAGAAAAATCGAGAGAACTAGAGGGATCGAGAGAGATCGAGAGAAACGAGAAATTCTCGAGCGAGAGAGGGCCTTCTCTCGTCTCCTCTCGAGCTTTTTTTTCGAGAGAAAATCGCCCTCTCGTCTCGTCGAGACGAGACGAGACGAGAGACAAGATTCTCTCGTATTGAACTAAATTGATTAAATAATGCCAAAGTATAAATAGTTTCTTTATACCTCAATAATAATTATTATTTATAACTAAATACCATTTTTTATACCTAAATTAATTAATTGACAAAATAATGTTTTTTTACCTTAAATGAGGTATTTTTATTAAAAATCCTTTAAATTAAACGATTTAATGCTGGCAGGTTGATCATGGTGCGCAATTGATAATTATTACGCGAATGAAATAATGTATAAAACTTACACCAAAGGAAACTTACACCAAAGGAAACTTAAATATTAGATAAAAAATCGTGGGTACTTCAGATTCAGAATCAGATTTAATTTAATAGGATAATTATTACCAAAAAAGTGATATTTTTATAGAAAAAATATTGCAGAATCGTATAGGTATACCTATACGATTCTGTAGTTATCTGTATACAGTTAACTATTGTAGCGTTTGGGTCGCTACATATTTTTTTATTCGCAGTGACTGCTACCCCCGTGCGCACGGAACCATAGTTGGCTGACTCGCGCTCCTTGCGCACGAAACAATAGGTATGTGACTCGCGCCCCTTGCGCGCGGAACAATAGATATGGGACTCCTGCACCGTACATATGGGGTTAGGACATAGATGCGATGCGCTAGAGAGTTTTTAATAATTTCATAATGGTATGTTCACAAAAAAGCATTAATATTAAAATGTAATTTATTAAAAAATAATTGAAAAATACATTTTAATTTCATAAAAGTTAAATTTATTTTAATGTCATTGGCGGGATATCTTGGATGTCTTATTTGAGTTCCTTTTTCTTTTAGACCCAATTATCGTCAACTCTGACCCCTTGGGTCTGCCGCATTTAACCATTTTTAGTGCACCAAAAACTATCATAGGAAAAAGAAATACCGTTTGAAAAAAAAATTATTAGTAATAGTTCGTTTATACCATATTTGTTTCCAGTTATTCCCTTTTTGTCATTATTGTTAGTCATGTTGATGTTTATTTTTAGTGGTATTTCTTTTTCTTGTGATAGTTTTTTATCTTCTGAAAATATTCTGTCGTCTGATAATATTTCCTCTTCTGGTATTTTTTTTCATCTGATACATCAATATCTCCTGCTATTATTTCTGCTCTTTTTATTTCTCTTTTTTCTGATAGTTCTATGGCTTCTGATAACATTTCTCCTTCTGACATTTCTCTTTCTTCTGATAGTTCTATGTCTTCTAATAATATTTCTCCTTTCATTTCTTCTGGTATTTGGGATGCATAGTTGTAATTATTATTGTTATTAATATTCTCATCAATCACTTCAACAATTAAAACTTTTTTCTTGTTTTGATAAAAGGATTTCAACAACTTCATTTGGTCCATAATTTCTCGGTATGTCTTATTCCCATATTGAGATATAGTGACTGCTAAGGAATTGCATAATTTGGACGCCTCTCTAAATTTTTGATGCTGATTTAAAACTGGTTTGTTTGTGATATGTTCAGTAAGCACTTCGTTGTGTGAATCATAAATCGGTACAACTTTCATATTTGCTCGATGATTTTCAACATAAAACTTTACAAGCCATCTTTCATTTATCAATGATTCATCAAATAATTCAACATTAGAACATTTTCTAACAGATAAAATATGACGACAAGGTAACTTTATTTGATTCCGAAACCGACAGGAACATGCATACTCAATAAAATAATACTTAAGATCTTGATTGCCTTTTGAAGCTCTAGGATACTTTGTTACCGCTTTAGATAATACACAGGAATCCTTTTTTTGTAGAGTAATGTGTTGGCCCGACTTTTGATACTCGTAAGGGAAAAAAGTGACAACCAACTATACGCACTTAGTTTAAGTCATATTGACAGAATGAGTTGACATTGACAAATTAATTTCAGTCAGCTGTGTTAAAAACGTTTAAAAGTTTATTTAAATTATATCGAGTCTTAGCGTGAAAGATTGTTAGTTTGAGTACAGCAAGTTTGGGATATTACCAAACCAGTATTAAAAGTAAAGTTGGTAATAAAAAATGGTCTCCTAGAGTAACAAGGTTGTTGATGGTAGTAGGCGAATGAATTTGAAAAAATATAGATATTGATGATTTTTTAAACAAGAAATTGTAGGTATTTTTGAGTCTAAACATACAAGGTATGATATAAATATTATATTAATCAATTTAATTAATTATTTAAAATGGTTGTAAAGCTTTGACCAAGTTTATTATTTTAATGTGGATTCCTAAGGTTTTTAACTCTGATATTTATTTATCTAGTTCAGGAGACGTTATAATTCATCTATTTTGTATCATAAGTCGATATCATTATATTAAATAAATTAAACCTTAATATTCCTTATTTTTAATATTATATATATATTACATACATATTATTATTACTATATGCCTTATTTTGATTATTACGTTGATATTATTATCTGCTCTATTATTATTATTATTATTCTTACTATATTTTCTATGATTACTATATTGTATATTATTACTGTTTCTCTATTCATTGCGCCATGTAATGGGATTAATAAGAACGAAGGTTTTGCTGTATAAAATTGAATTGTATCTCTGTTTCGACTGTTTATACAAAATGAGCTGATATATTGTTACTGATGACCATTATTATAAATTTAGTTGATATTACATTTGGCTTGATAATACTTAAGAATCTGCATTTATTAAACCTTAGAAATAAAACCCTTTAACATATAAACTTGGAAATATATATATACTTCTATAAATCTACCGTATTAAACTAGTAAATCTAAATCCCTTAAAGTGACAAAAAGCTAACTGAAACTAATAATCTCAAAACGTTTGATAAAACCTATTGTTAAAACTAATATTCAAATACAATTAATATAAAGCTGACAACCATTATTTGTGTGTTTTTATTACTTAATCTAATTTCCTCTCTCTGGCATCCTTCCTATCTAGAAGCGAATTCAAATACCACAACGTAGGTACCTTTCCGACTAGACTAGATGATCACACCGTTTTTGGCCACACTTGACAACATTGCGAAGTTGTTGAGGTTATGTTTGAATTCGCGAGATTCTTAAAATCTCCTTGGGTTACTGCCGTTTTCATGAGTATGGGGTACCCCAGGCCGTGACCATCACAGTAATGAGTTTGCTTGTTTCATATTCTTTAATTTTCTCTTCCAATTCTTCAAACGTTGCAAATAACGCACCTACCTTCATTTTCTCTTTCACGTAAATCATAAACTTATAACCTAACCTATATGAAAGTATCAAGCCTCGCACGGAGCGCGAGCCACATATCTATTGTTCCGTGCGCACGGAGCGCGAGTCACCCAACTATGGCACCGTGCGCACGGAGTAGCAGTCACTGGGTTTTTTATTTGCTTTATTACTATTAGCGCCATTTATCGTTGGGTAAATCTACTTAGCTCCTGGTTTAATAATGTAATTTGGAATTGCCAAGCATCATCCGGCCATTTTGGTCATTGTTTTTTTCAATATCTACTTTCTAATGTCCTTCTTCTAAATTGGCTAAAGCTATATTGCTAGATATACATTTTTACAATTTAATGTTATTTTTTTAAGAAATATGTGATGCACTACTGTAACAGGACCTTGAATCGTGCAACATGATTTTTTTAATGTAATTCTCTTTCCTGAACCTTAAAATTTCGCACTTGATAATTTTGTGTCCACTTAATATTGATATTTTAAAAAGAAGATAGACAAGTTAAACTGATTATTTATTTACTTTCTCTAAACAACACTGAGATCGTGATGAGCAAAATATTGCTAACGGTAACTTAATAGCCGTTAATCAAAATTTTCAACTGTTGCCTATTATCACAAATAACGGCGATTGAAAAAACCGCGATTTTTTGAAATAAGGAAAACTGTTTTTGAAAGTTTAATATTTTGTTTGTAAACATTTGTGCCTTTTTAAAATAGGTACTACTTTGTTAAGGTTAAATTAACAGCGTTTAAAGCGCTGTCTTTATTATTTATATATCAACAGTTAAATGGTAAAAATTACACAACACAACAAATATTAAATTAGCCCTTTAAAATCACCGTTATATAAAAATTGCAAAAACTTTTAACATAGCTAATATCGCTATCATCACTACTGCCGTGATAAGTAAAACTCGATCAAGCTATTCATTTGGCTTCTGGGACTTCTTAGAAAGTAAGTCGTAACTAAAAGAGCACTTTTGTACTTTAAAGTACAAAAGATAATATTTTAGGTACTTTAAGAGCATGAGGTGAATCGATAATATTATTAGTTTTTTTGTATTCAAATAACGCATATATATGAGATCAAAAATAAAGTTCCTGGGGTCATTTTCCACAGAAAACATTTTTTTGCTAGAATGGCCACTGGCCAATGACTAGGCTAAGAACAATAAAAGAGCATGTAAATTTTCAGTCTTTAATCTACTTTATTATAATAACTATAAATTAAAAAAGTAGAAAACGTACAAAATTCGTCAAATAACAATAATGGGACAAGGTAATAGATTTTAATCACAAAAACATATACCTAGATGCAGTTATTCGATTCTAATAACACAAAATTAAATTTAAATAAAAAAGTGCTTTAACTTAATTATTAAACAATAAATACCATTACAAAATGCACTTGAAATTCTGGTTTAAATAAATATTTTCGGCGTTAAGGTGTTGTTTTCTTAAACCAAAATTAATTTAAGATTATGGACAATTTTAACAAGCAAAGTCATCAGCAGCTGGTTCTTCCTCAGCTTCGTATTCCTCGTCGGCGGTAGCTTCTTGGTATTGTTGGTACTCGGATACCAAGTCATTCATGTTTGATTCAGCTTCAGTGAATTCCATTTCGTCCATACCTTCACCAGTATACCAATGCAAGAAAGCTTTACGTCTGAACATAGCGGCGAATTGTTCGGAGATTCTTTTGAACAATTCTTGAATGGCGGTTGTATTACCAATAAAGGTGGATGACATTTTTAATCCTACTGGTGGAATATCACAAACGGCAGTTTTAACGTTATTGGGGATCCACTCTACAAAGTAGCTGCTGTTTTTGTTTTGGACTGCAAGCATTTGTTCGTCAACTTCCTTCATTGACATTTTACCTCTAAAGACGGCAGCAACTGTTAAGTAACGACCGTGTCTTGGATCACAGGCGGCCATCATGTTCTTAGCATCAAACATTTGTTGGGTGAGTTCGGGTACAGTCAAAGCTCTGTATTGTTGATTTCCACGGGATGTTAGGGGAGCAAAACCAGGCATAAAAAAGTGAAGGCGTGGGAAGGGTACCATGTTGACGGCCAATTTACGCAAATCGGCATTCAATTGACCAGGGAATCTAAGGCAGGTGGTGACTCCAGACATTGTGAGAGAGACTAGATGGTTCAAATCGCCATAACTTGGGTTGGGGACTTTCAAGGTTCTAAAGCAGATATCGTAAAGAGCTTCGTTATCAATGCAGTAGGTTTCATCAGTATTTTCTACAAGTTGGTGTACGGAAAGGGTGGCATTATAAGGTTCTACGACGGTATCTGATACTTTAGGGCTGGGCATTACGGAATATGTGTTCATAATTCTGTCAGGGTATTCTTCTCTGATTTTGGAGATGAGGAGTGTTCCCATACCGGAACCGGTACCACCTCCAAGGGAGTGTGTAAGTTGAAATCCCTGCAAGCAGTCGCAGTTTTCAGCCTCTTTTCTTACAACATCTAAAACCGCGTCGACTAATTCTGCTCCTTCAGTGTAGTGACCTTTGGCCCAGTTGTTACCAGCACCGGACTGTCCAAAAACAAAGTTGTCTGGGCGGAAAAGTCTTCCGTATGCTCCGGAACGTACAGCATCCATAGTTCCGGGTTCCAAATCCAAGAGGATGGCTCTTGGTACATATTTTCCTCCAGAAATAGAAGAAGCAACTAAAAATAAAAAACGTATTGTAGTGATTCTGAAATATTCGTATTTTATAAATGTTTGTGTTTAAGAATTGTTAACAATGTTGTTTTGTGTTCTCTAAAAGGTTGGTTCTAAATTTCTAGTTTCATTAAATTAAACAAATACTAAATTTCAAAAGTATCCAGATTAAATACACTAATTATTAATTTTTCATTACTAAAATAAACGTATACGTTTAGCTGGATTTTTCTCGATTTTTAAACCTTTAATATTTTCTTTTTATTAAGTTTTACTGTTAACTCTAATATTTTCTTTAATTCCAATATTGTATAATTTAAACTTAATTTAGTTGCGAATTGCGAAATGTCCTTTATTTCTTTTATACCCAGTTTTTTCATGTATTACTCCTAAAGCAATGTATCAAATAAAACGGTACACAACGTAAGATGATCCCCAGCCATACTCATAAAATAGTTAATTTGTTTATTTTCTAAGAAAAATTTGTACCGTATAAAATAGTATATTATGTATAAAGTTTTATAAATGCGATTTTAGTTACGAGTTTAATTAAGTACGAGCGAAGCTTGCGAGTGTTTAATAAGAACGAATGTCTAGAGAAGTTTATAAACGAGTTGCATACTATACTAAGTATAGTAAAGTCTTTATCTCTTTTGCGTACATAATGACTTCATTGTAACACCGCCTTCGGTGCTGTAATGAGGTACCCCACCCAAAATTTGATTTTATAGGTTGGCTACTTTAAACAGCATACTAGTAAAATAATATTATGAATATTGGTTATAATATTTTTATGATTTTTCTAGTACTTAAGAAACTTTTCTGGCAATAAATTTTGTTTAACAAGAAAAAAATCCTTTTTTTCTTCTTTAACATTAACAGCCGCTTATTGTAAATAGGTAAATTAAGGACCCCAAGGCGAATCGATTTTGACATTAACCCTTCAAACCAATTACTGTGATACCAATTGTCTAAAGTAAAATTCGACCAAATTAAATATAAGGTTATTTTATTAATTTTTTAAGGTTGTTTTATTAATTTTTTTAATGGAATTTTTGCAAAATGAATAAAAAAGCATAAAGAACTCATGTCATAAGACCTTTTGTCGCACTCGTCCTCTTGCGACAAAATGACGTCTTATGACATTAGTTCTTTAACCATTATTTACGACGAACACAAAACAGAATTAAAAGCCAATTTTATTTGTTATAAATTTGGCATCTGTCAACTGTCACCCGAATTAACCTCACTTTTTTTTATATTTATTTATAATAAAGCTCACGGTGTGCCTGAACGAAGTTTAAGTCACATAAAAATGCCTCCAAAAACTGATTACAGTTTCTTGTTCGGGACCCTTTGGTGACTTAAAAATGATATTTACCAAAATCCTAGCTGCTCTTTTTTTCGAAATTTTTTGAAAAGTCAAGATTTTTTTTTAAATTTTTGTTTTTCTTAGTCTACCTTTGACAGAGTACATTTGTACACCGATTTTTATAATATTGGAGTATATTATTAAGGAGATTTGGAGAATACTTTTTTATACTGTGCACATCATTTAATATATACAGGGTTAACCAAAAATTGCTTCTTTTAATAAAGCAAAAGCGTAAATTCATGATTTTGGCATAACACGAAAAAAAGATATATACCCATCCATGTTTTTTAGATATTTTAATGTTTATCAGGCTACAAAATGGGATTCTCATTAGGACTTATAAGAAAAATTGATTTTGAATAAAATTAAATAAAATAACATTTTTTGGAGATATATCTTTTTTATTCATTATGCTTTTTACTATATAAAAAAGTTATTTTTGGCTAACCCAATATAAGTCTAATGATGTGCTCAGTATGAAAACAGTATTCTCCAAGTCTCGTTAACAATATACTCCAATATTATAAAAATCGGTGTACAAATGTGTACACTGTCAAAGGTAAGATAAACAAAAATTTAAAAAAAAAAATAAGAATTTTTAAAAAATTTCGAAAAATGGAGCAGCTAGGATTTTGGTAAATATGATATAAATAAAAATCGGTGTACTCTGGCAAAGGTAGACTTTGCGATAAACAAATAATTAAAAAAAATGATTTTTTGACAAATTTAAAAAAAGCAGTTAGAATTTTGGTAAATGTCGTTTTTAAATCTCCAAAGAGTGCCGATCAAAAAACTTTAAACAGTTTTTCGTTCAAAATTGAAAACTACTAAAAAGCCTAAATTGAACAACATTTTAAATATTCTCTAAGAGTTATTTTATTTAATTTTATTAAAAATCTATTTTTTATAAAAGGTTAATAAGAATGCCATTTTGTAACCTGATAAACGTAAAAATATCTAAAAAAAAAATGGGGATAAATCTTTTTTGCGGGTTATGCCAAAATCATGAATTTACGCTTTTGCTTTATTAAAAATAAGCGATTTTTTTTCTCACCCCGTATATATCAAATGATGTGATTAGTATTAAAAAGTATTCTTTAAGTGTCCTCAATAATATACTCTAATTTTATAAAAATCGGTGTACAAATGTGAACTCTGTCAAAGGTAGACTTTGAAATAAACAAAAAATAAAAAAAAAATCATGAATTTTCAAAAAATGTCGAAAAGAGGAGCAACTAGGATTTTGGTAAATATCATTTTTAAGTCACCAAAGGGTCCCGAACAAGAAACTGCAATTAGTTTTTGGCTGCATTTTTATGTGACTTAAACTTTGTTCAGGCACACCGTGAGCTAACTTAAGCCCGTGACTAAAACGCCATAAAGTTACAGCTCGTCAATGTGGGAGTAGAAAAAAGATATTTTAAGAATCTTTATCTAACTCAAATAATTTTCCGTACAATTACCTAAATTTAATTATCTTGAACATATAGGTTTCAAGTAATTAAAGATAATAAAAAATAAAGTAATTTAAACCGGCATTTTTTAAAGTCTTATAATTCCTTTTACATCAAACATTTTTAGTAATTCTTTTAACGTAGTTTACGGTATCTTTAAAATTAATTTATTATTTGCAGCCATGCTTTGTAGAAGCCAATTTAAGAAACGGAAGCCGCCAAATTTTTGGCCAATTAAATAAAATTGGGTAATGAACGTATATTAAGAACAAACAATTTAATATAATCAGACATAGTCCTTTATTTAATAAAAATTATACCTGCAGGTACATGTACATAACTAATTATAAAAATGAAATACTAATTGTGAGGATTTAAATTTTAAATGCAATGCAATGAGACATGCTACTCATATGGGCATTAATACAGATTATGTATGGTTTATTGTGTATAAAGTTAATTAATTTTTCATACCAGAAGCTTCGTTGTAATAAACATTGATTCGTTCAAGTTGTAAATCGCTGGATCCCGTATAAACTCCGCTGGGGTCAATGCCATGTTCTTCGGATATTACTTCCCAAAACTAAAAAGAAAAAATTAAAATTAACCGGAGTGGAAACTATAAATTACAATAAAATGAAATTGTTCAAATTACGGAACGCTTTATCTAAAATAAATAAATGAATACGGCGCTATCGATGACTGGGAAGATGTCCTTTGCTCATCAAACCGTAAAGAAACAGACAAGAAAATAAAAATAAAAAATATAAAAAACTAATTTTATTTTACACTTTGCAACAAATGATATTAAATATAAATAACACATAATTAAAGGTATCGTATTAAGGCGTAAAACAATTAAATTAGGTTTTCTAAATTTTAAAGTATACTTGCAGGTAAATTATCTTAAAATGTTATGATATTTATTTATTATGTATCATGTTTAATATACGGCATTTTAGTCCCGAATTTTAATTAGGCAGTGTTTAATGAAATTATTGTGTATAAGTTTAAACTTATACACTTTTATAATTATAAAATGGTTCATACTATTCTTGGACAAATATTAGGTATAAAAAGCAATTTATTACTAATTAATATATAAAATTTTAAATAGAGCGACATCTATACAAAATAGAGTAGGTAACTTGTGAATCTGTTTTACCGGCTTTTAAAATAGCAGTTGGTTGTTAAATTTTGTAGAGAATCTTTACTAAAGATAACAATTTATCCCTTGAAATGGACTAACAACTGTTCAAATCCGCTATAGAAGCAGCTTTTAACAGTAAAAGTGAAAAGGATTTTTTATGGGTACTATACCCAAAATTTTTAATACTTTATTACAAGTATACCTACGTACCATTATTTTACAAAAAAGGCACCTTATTTTGAAGATTGTAGGACATTTCATAACTGTCAACTAACTTAAAGCCAACGTTAGCCCATGACTAAAACGCCATAATGTCACAGCTAGTCAATGTGTATTTAAAGAATCACTTAGTGTCATGAAAACATGTACGATAATGGGCGTTTTAAAGAAAAAGTAAAAAAATATTTATTTACATATTTTAAGACCTTAAGAGCTTAAGTTGACATTCTAAACAGTTCTAGGTTTAAATAGTATATTATGCAACAAGTTTGATAAACGGCATCTTTAGCTTTAAATAAAATTGTTAAAGTAAAGTGCCCTTCTTGTAAAATAATACTAAAGGTGGAAATTATAGTATTATCTTAACTTAAAAATACAAAAGTATAAAACAGTTTTCCAGCGTAAATATTTAAAAAGTTTATGTACGTTTGTACTGACCTTTTCATTTTGCCGGCAGTAAACTAGATTTAACTGATTAGTCATTAAAAAATTTGGGTGGAGACTCCACGGGGAGTGCCCATGCTCACTTTCACTGTAAAAAACTGCTTCCATATCGGTTTTAACCGGTGATTAGTCTATTTTCAAGGACAACATTTTGATTTACACATAACAATTTGACATTTTGACCGGCGCGTCGGTAATACAGGTTCCCAAGTTACTAACTTGAAGTTAGAATGGTTACCTACTCTATTATTTTAGATATGTCCCTCTATACAAATACTTAATTGAAATCGTTTTTAAATAATAATAAGTATTTGTCGTAGAAAAAAAATAGTAAGCGACTCGTTTATAAACTTTTCTAGACACTAATTTAATTAAACAATCGCTCGTGCCTACTTAAAATTCTTGACTGAAATGGCGTTTATCAAACTTGATGCATAATATACTTCTATTTATCCCAACATTGACGAGTTGTGACTTTATTGCGTTTTAGTCACAGTGGCTTTGGGGGCTTTTTAGTCACGAGCTGAAATTAGCTTTATTATAAATTGGAAAAAGTTAGATTGACAGTTGTCAGTCAAGTTTTTAATAAATAAAGTTGGCTTTAAATTCTTTTTTGTGTTCATCGTAGATAAAATAGGTATTGAATGCAACTCGTTTATAAACTCTAGACACTCGTTTTTATTAAACACTCGATCGCAAGCTTTGCTCGGGCCTAATTAAACTCGTAACTAAAATAGTGTTTATAAAACCTGATACATAGGTAATATATAATATGAAGGTGTAAGAAGCAAAAGGGTACAAGTGCAAAGAGAAGTTGAGTTATTGACTAAAGTTTTTGCTGTATACAAAAATCTGAATACTGTGGACGATCATTTTTATAATAACATGCTTTAAAGCAAATTTTTGTTCCAAGTAAGCAATTAATTATAAATATTGCATCAGTACCGTTTGTTCCCACTCTCAAAAAATGAATTAGTAAAATATAACTAATTGTCATAGAGAAAAAGCAGCCACTAATAATTCTCGCCAACGGAAATTTGTATCTCGGACATTTGGATAACGCTTATCGAAAAGGAACCAAGTGCCAAAAACTTTTTCTGAGCTTAGTAAAATTATTTGTAAAATAACTCATATTTAATAATGCTCAAAAGGTTAATCATCATTTGGAACTTTTCTCAAAAGGATTGAGAAGGTTCCCAAATCATTATTAATTTTTTGAGCAGCATTAAAAATGAGTTATTTTTCAAAAAGTTTTTGGCGCTTGGTCCTTTTCGATAGCAGTCAATTTCTATATAAAATTGTCTGCATCATCCGAAAATGTCTTCAAAAGTTATAAAATTAGAACAGTTTGTATGATAAAGTCAATTTTCCATATAATATGAAATTGACTATATCTCAAAAACTGCTCTGCTTTCATAATTTTTTCGGATTCAGAGGACAATTTTACATAAGAATTAAATGTCCAAGATACCAATTGCTGTAATACTATGATTAATTCATTTTTAGATAGGCTCGTTCAGAGCATTCAATAACAGACCACTTAAATAAAGAATAACCAAAGACTTGCATTTTAAACGAAAATAACAGTGCAAAATTACAGATGAGTGGCTAAGTGCACTAAGTGTACATATCATGATATGTACCCCCGTTCATGGCTATTACCACCTGCCAGCATCTTCGCTGCTTATGCATACCATAGGGACTAAAAGACTCCCAGAGATTACATTTTATTAATCGCATGACCAATTGCAACACATAAAAATTTAATTAAATAGCAAGGTAATTCATTCAACTTTAGGACGCCAGATCTAAACCAAAAAACACTTTAGCAGGTTTAAACTAATAAATACACACTCAGCGCCTAGAAAGGTTATTTAAAAAGGTCATAACCAAAGTGGCCTCCTCCATAAAGAACATAATTTTTAGACAAGCGCACAGTGAAGTAAAATAAACTGTGCACAGAAACCGATGCACATGTGGATAAATCTTCTCAGCACTTTAATTTCCAGAAAGTCAGAGCGGTAACACGAACAACCTGCCGTGGACAGCAACACTTCGGTTTTCACAAAATAATCGTGTATAGCGGTTACGAATTTTCAGCACAGTAAACCAACCAAGCCCCATTCATGAACCCCAATTGAATGTGGGTGTTACTAAATCACTGGTTAAGGAAGATTCCGGATTTTAATTAGTTTTGGGTCAGTCTATCGTCCTCTGAAAACCAAAATGTTTTCCATTCTTGTCCCAAACTCCATTAGCCTAATCAGGCGTATAACCCGGCCCGGCGACAAAATTCAGGTAGGGGTCTTAACCATCTGTCGTCCACGATCTTCCAAGGAAGATTTACCAGCCGGGGTAAAACTTCGTTACTGTCAAACACAGGTAATGCTCTGCAGTTGCGGGATACGTAGAAGAACCGAAAGGGGGTAAAAATAACTGGGAGACCAGTGTATAATGAGGCCTATAAGGGCCTATAAGTTCCTCATACAATTAAACAATTAATAATTAATAAATTGTGTCATGTTTGAGATAATTGCTTTGCGGTAATCCAAAGGAATTGTTCAATTATGGATCTACAAATGTGCCCAAAGGGCAAATAAATCATTAATTATTGGGATTCGTAGGTACATTGAACCGACTTGCTGCCAGAGGTTCAATACAGATAGATATAAAAACACTCAACAAGATTTATACTCCCTGGATAATAAAAAAATTACGAGCGTTTACTTTAATTTCATTACAAATAAAGATTATTTGGGATGGGATATATTTAAACTGTATTAATATCAGAAATAAATTTGTTTTAATCGTACATTTTATTTATTTGTATTTAAACAAAAAATAACCCCATCGTGTAAAAAATTCTCAGCTTTCAGAAAAAAATACCAAATTTAAAATAAAAATGCCAGAAAAATCGCCTTTTTACTGTAATTGATTTTTAAGGGTTTTCCGTTACTTAAAATAAGAAATAAATATTTTTATTTAAAAGCTGATAATTTAAAAAAATATTGTTTCAACTTAAATAAAATTAACGAAAGAGTTAAAATTCAATAAATCATTACCACGAAGTCATTATTTTGATGAAAAGAATACTTCCACTAAGTTTTAAAAAAATGCGAGGGGTCACACTCTAAAAAAAATATTTGGGGAAATTACCGATATATACCCACTTCTTTTTTTAAAAATACAAAGACAGTCTGTAACACTGATGCAGTAATATGTCCCTATTTGAATGGTTTCCATGACAACCTTTTTTGATGTGGAATAATTTCAGCTTAGAAGAAACACAGCGTTGTCGAGTAAATTTAACTCAAACTCTGAAAGGAAATGTTGAAAAAATGTTTTTTTATACATAAATAACATTTTCTGAGCATCTGTTGTTTTCAGTTTAAAGTTAAAAAAAAAAGACAAAACAAAAATTAATTTAGTATCAGTGAACAATTTGGTTTTACGGTACTTGTTATTAATTTAATGAGCTTTTTGTCGACTCCTTTTATTAATAATAATGACATCTATTAAAAAATACTGCGTTTTATTGAGCTCGTTTATTCCTATTACAATTGAAATAAAAAAAACAATAAAATACGATGTTGTCAACTTTTAAATGTCAATATTTCCATAGCAATCTTTTCAAAAAAACATACCTACATTACTATTTCCGGATCCTATATTTTTGTTAAGCAGAAATATCTAAAAAATGCAATAATATAAATATAAACATTCTTTATTGCTGAAAGTCATTTAAAGGAAATTATTCTTATCGGCGATTT